CACGTGCCGGAGGCTCTCACCTCACGGCAGACAGGAAGCAGAGGGAGGAGTACAGGAAGGGGCTAGGACAGCAGCCCCCATATGTGCTGCCAGGGCTCTCCTGCCCTCGGCTACGCTCCACTTCCTACCCCCCCCATCATACTGTGACTCTATCAAGTGAATAATTCATTGATTATGCCGGAGACCAGCCACTTCTGAAAAGCCAACCAACTGGTTAGCGAGCCCAAGTACATGAGACTGTGAGAGGTGACATAAGGTATGATATCTTAGAGAAAGTTCCGTCTCTCCCCAGCAGGGAGACAAGCAATTATTAAAACCTCAGTTTTTTTCCAAAATGAATCTGAAAACACTACTGTGATTTCCCCTGGGGGATTTAGGGCATTTCCTGCTCTGAGATGACCTTTCCACCCAAGCTGCCTTCCTAGTGCTAAACCAGTCTTAAAGGTCACTGTGCTCAGGGTCACTGGTGATTGGAGGTAGTGGCATGGGGGAAAGGGTTTAGCAATCACTCCTCACTCGGCCATTGTTTTGTCACCAGGACAAACTGGTCCTCTAAGTCTCTGACTCTTCACGCTGGCACTAGCCACCTATTTGAAATTATCTGTGTCCTAGTCACTGTTCTATTTCTGTGAAGAGATGCCATGGCCAAGGCAACTCAGAAAGCATTTAACTGGGGGCTCACTTAGAGTTTAGAGGCTTAGTCCATTATCATCCCCGTGTGGGGAGCATGGCAACAGGCCCAGAGACATGGTGATGGAGAAGTAGTTGAGAATTACAGCCTGATCTTCAGGCAGAAACGGACCCGGCCTGGCATCCGCTTTTGAAACCTCAAAGCCCACCCCCAGTGACACACTTCCTCCAACAAGACCACACCTCTAATCCTTCTAATCCTTTCAAATAGTGCCACTCCCTGGTGACTAAGCATCAAACACATGAGTTTATAGGGGCCTGTCTTACTCAAACTACCACATTCCACTTCCTGGCTTGTAGCTATATCATAATACAAAGATGTATTCAGTACAACTCCAAAAGTCCCCAGAGTCTATCACAGTGTCAACACTATTTAAAAGTCCAAAGTTCAAAGTCTCTTTTGAGACTCCTGGCATTCTCTTAACTGCAACCCCCTGTAAAATAAAAAAGCAGATCGCATACTGCCAATATACTTTGGCACTGAATATACATTACTATTCCAAAAGGAAGGAAAGGGAACATAGTGAGGAAATACTGGACCAAAATTAAACCTAAAACCAGCAGGGCAAACTCCAAATTCTGCAGCTGCATATCAGATGTCAAAGGGCTCTTCAAACCTTCAATTGTTTTCAGCTTTGTTGACTGCAACGTACTTTCTCTCTTGGCCCTCTCGCTGCTAGCGGCTCTCCTCAGCAGGTAGCCTGCAACTCTGCCATCTCCAGCATCTTGGGGTCTCCAAGGCCATCCAGGCTTCACCTTTACAGCTTCACACAATGCCCTTTCTGGGTCTCCATGCAGGGGCACCCCTGACACATGCTTGGCCTCAGCAGCTTTCTTTCCTTAGTTTCTACAACCTCTTTCTTGAGTCCTGGACTCTAAAGTCAGAGCCGCATGACCAAAGCTGCCAACTTTTTCCTGTTTGCTGGGTCTAGAAGTTGGTCCTTGTTCAATTATGTCCTCACCAGCTTTCTGCTTTCAATGGTTTCCTTCACTGCCTCATCTTGGCTGTCCTGGAACTTGCTCTGTAGACCAGTCTGGTCTTGAACTCAGAAACCTTTTAATTACATATTCACCAGCTTTCTGTTTTGGATGGTTTCATTCTCTGCTTAAGCTTTTCCTTAATTCATTTTCACAAGTTGGAAGCTTAGCTAGCTGGGGTCTTGCCCTGGGGTCATCACCCCCTTATTTCTCTAGCATCCGCCTAACTTTTTAATCTCCTTGAGCAGCAGAGTTGGCGCCATTACTCTTCCTGGTGCTCCTTTTCCCCTCAAGTTGTACATTTTGTATTTCTCCTTTCCCCACTTGCTCCTTTTTACCTGTAAGATCTGCATAAGTGACCATTAGCAGCCATGTGACACAGTCAGTAATAGGCTGTCTTGAAATCTCCCCTCCAGCACCATTATCTGATTAATTGACTCTGTCCCTACCCCTTACTCTTTCCCTTCAAGTCAGTCTCAGGCAAATTTTTAGGACAAAGTCAAAAAGCAGCCATATTCTTTGCCACACTATTAAAACAATGGGCTCTGGGCCACTTACTAATATTCTTTCTCTCTAGAACTTCTTGAGCTGGGCCCCCATAGTTCAAATCTCCCTCTCACTGTCTTCCATGCTCCTCCTAGGATGGCCTACTAAGCCCTACTTAAAGTGTCCAACCACTTTTCTAGTACAGAGTCTCAAAGTTTTCCACGTGCCTCCAAAATACAGCATGACCAGGCCTGTCGCAGCGCTGCCCCAGACCCTGGCACCAACTCCTGTCTTTTTTTCTTTCTTGGGTTTTCAGGATAGGGTTTCTCTAGGTAGCCCTGGCTGTCTTTCTCTGTAGACCAGGCTGGCTTCAAACTCAGAGATCTGCCTGCTTCTGCCCTCAAGTGGGCCACCAGCACCTGGCATCAATCTCTGTCTTAGTCAATGCTGGGAAGAGACACTATGACCAAGGCAACCCTTTTTTTTGCCATTTATAAATTTATTGTATTTTATTTTAACTGACAGAGCATAAATGAATGCATGTAATACTGGGATAATATGTGATCTGTTAATATATATGTAAAATGTCCAAACCAAGATACAGTTATATATCTCCTTGATCATTATCATAAAAACATTCAATATTCAGTATTCTTATTTCTAGTTTTTAGAGAGACAGTATGTAGAGTGATGCCTTTTCCTTGTCAGTGGCTTGGTTTTTCCCCACCAGTTGCCTGGGCTCTGCTGAGTTGTAGTCCCCAAATAACAGACAGGAGGCTGTATTAATTATGAAGCTGTTGGCCTTGCTTGTTTCTTACTGGATAGCTCTGACTTAAGTATTTAACCCATCTAAGTATTTCTCTTACCGGACGGACATCTTACTTCTCTGGCGGGCTACATGATGACTCCCTGTGTTTCTCCTACCCAGAGTCCTTCTGGACTCCTAGTCCCACCTATCTTGCTTCCCTATTGGCCAACAGTGCTTTATTGACATACACACAGGACTTCCCATCAACAGTACATTATTACAATCTCTAGTAATTCTACAGAGTAACACCATATCCAAATTACTTATGTAACTGCAACTTAATACTCCTTGGTTAATGTTTCCTCTGCCTTCCATTTCCCCCTCTTCTCACTAGCACCTGAGAATCACCACTCTTCCCTCCATTGGTATGAGATTGTTTTTCTATACTTTATTTTATTGATTAATCTTTTACATTCCAATCCCAGTTCCCCCTCCCCCCTCACCTCTCACTCCCCGACTCCTCCTCCTCCCATCTGCCCTAGGAAGCCTGCTAAGCCTGTCCATCATCTCGTTGAGGCAGGACCAAGCCGCCGCCTCTCCACCCCCACACCCCTGTGTCTAGGCTGGACAAGGTGTCTCTCTGTCTAGAATGGTCTCCCCAAGGCAACTCTTATAAAAGAATTTAACTGGGGGCTTGCTTATAGTTTCAGAGACTTAGTGTCTCATCAGCCGCTTCCTAATTACCACGCAGAGGCTTGTATTAATTATAAATGCTCGGCCAATAGCTCAAGCTTGTTACTAGCTAACTCTTACACTTATATTAACTCATATTTCTTTTTCTTTTTTTTTAATTTTGGTTTTTGGTTTCTTGAGACAGGGTTTCTCTGTGTTGCTTTGTAGACTAGGCTGGCCTCGAATTCTCAGAGATCCGCCTGCCTCTGCCTCCACAGTGCTGAGATTAAAGGCGTGTACCACAACCGCCCAGCTTAACCCATATTATGGATACCTTGCGATGTGACTTAGTGCTGTTTCTCAGTGTGGCACGCCCATCTTGCCTCTCTCTGCACCATCTCTGCAACTCTCTGACTCTGCCCTCCTTCTTCCCATCATTCTTAGTTTGGCTCTCCCGCCTAACTTCCTGCCTGGCTACTGGCCTGTCAGCCTTTATTAACCAATAAGAGTAATATGAGAAGGGTCACTCCACAGCAGGTTAGTCCATTGTCATCATGGTGGAGATCTTGGCAACAGGGACAGCAGGCATGGTGCTGGAGGAACGATTGACCTTTGGGCAGGATGAGAGACTGGACCTGGTGAGGGCTTTTGAAACCACAAGGCCCAACCCAGTGACACACTTCCTCCAACAAGGCCACACCTCCTAATCCTTCTAATCCTTTCAAATAGTGCCACTCCCTGGTGACTAAGCATCAAACACATGAGTTTATGGGGGCCTGTCTTACTCAAAGCACTACAGACTGTGAAAGCACGCTTAGTAGGTCCATGTTTGCGAGGCACATGCTCAGCGCACGTCAGCATGGTAACTGAACAATAAATGCATGGAACGTTCCGGGGATAGACAAGGGAAGGGCAGACAAGAGAGCTACCCATTCTCCAGGAGGGAGATGAAGGTCGTAAGACAGGGAGCTGCCTGTCAGGTGAGGCCCAGAAAGAATGGGGAGCCATTGTCCTCTTTGCCCTCTCTGTCATCAGGTACATGATGGTGTCCCTGTTCCTCCTGGGCCTGGGGGGAAGAACATTTGGGCCTGGCTCTCAGCAGAGGAGCACAAAGGCAATACACAGGGATGACCACAGATTCAGAGAGGCCACTGGGGCAGATGGAGAGGCGACCCAGACCAGTTGTGTACGGCCCAGCTATGACACAGGGCGGACGCCGCTGTGAAACCGGTGCAGCCCTTTGTCCGAGCACGATTCTGATCATTGGTTGGTTGGTCCGTTCATTCATTCAGCTGACACTTACTGAGCACCCGCGAGTGTCAGGCATGGCTCGGCATCCCCAGGGCAGCTGTGAGCTGGGTAGGCTGGACCTCGGGCCCTGGCTTGGCCAGGGGCTCTTGCCTAGCCGCATACCCCTGCCTTGCAGACGCTCATCACCGCCGTGGGGCAGACGGTCTACACGGTGGCCTCGGTGCTGACCCTCCTCTTCATCCTCATGTACATCTTCGCCATCCTGGGGTTCTGCCTGTTTGGAATTCCAGAGAAGGGAGACCTGAATAACTGGGGGAACCTGGCTGCAGCTTTCTTCACTCTCTTCAGTCTGGCTACGGTACCGTGTTCGGGAACTGTGATGAGGGCGGAGCCTGGAGAGGGACTGTCTAGGGAGGGTGAGCGTGTGGGTGAGGCCTCTTTTGGGACCCTTCCCCACATTCGGGTGCTTATTAGTGGGCGCAGGGAGCTGGGTTTGGCATGCCAGGGCTAGTCAGAGGCCAGTGGGTTCCATTTCTGTCTCTAGCCCTGTGATTTTATAAATCATTCCATGTGTGGCTCAGGGTAATAAATCTTGCTAGAATTCTCAAATGATACTTAATTTGGATTAACCTTAAGTTATAAATGAAGCCCACAGCATACTGCTTTTAAAAAAAATAAACTGTCACAGATCCACCCAGAATGAGCAAAGCCCAGCACTCAAAGTCTAGACTTTTGAATTATATAAAGTGGCATTTAAAGAAATTGTTTCGCTTTTATTTTTTTTTCCGAAGATGGGCCTGGAAACAGGCTGTGCATTTTAGGAGAAAATGGGAGGCCTTGAGAGAAGAGAGTCCCTTAAGCATGCTGGCTTGCAACTAGTGGTACCCTGCATTTCTGTAGGCGACAGCGGGTGGTTGGGGGCGTGCCGAAGGACTGATGTGGAGACTGAATTGGCAACCGCCTCCGAGGGTTTGGCGCGCCTCTGGCATACGTGAAACGGAAACCTACCCTGCTGGGTCTCGGTGCTCAGCATGCGCTGCCTTGCCTAACCAGGTTGACGGCTGGACAAACCTGCAGGAGCAGCTTGACAACCGGAAGTTTACTGTGAGCAGGGCGTTCACCATCATCTTCATCCTGCTGGCTTCCTTCATCTTCCTCAACATGTTTGTGGGTGTGATGATCATGCACACGGAGGTGAGCCTGTGCCTGTCGTGCGTGCCTACGTGTGCGTGTGTGCCCGTGCGTGCACGCGTGTGCCGTTCAGGTTAGGTGTGGCAGGTAGGCGTGGGCCAGGTTCCTTAGACAAGCTGGTCTTGTGTTCTTCTCATGAAGTGATGTGGAGTAGCCAGATGACCTCTCTCCTGTGTACCTGACCCTTCTACCTAAGTTCATTGCCTCATGATGGGGCCAGGGGGCCAGTGAGGCGTAGGAAGTCATTGCATCTGCAGGTGGCAGCTTGGGTTGGGGGCTGGCCCTGTGTGGGGTGGGCCTTTCTGCTGAGGCCTGAGCTTCAGGGAAGGCTGGGAAGGAGGAAGGCTGGGAACAGAAAGGGTGCAGACGAGAGACCACCGTCTTGACTTGCGCATTCTGCCTTGCTAGGACTCCATCAAAAAGTTCCAGCGGGAGCTGATGGTGGAGAGGCATGTGACGCTTATGGAGGAGAGGCAGATGATTCTGAAGCGCCAGCAGGAGGAGGTCAACAGGCTGATGAACGCACAGGCAGGTGGCCCTACTGGAGAGGTGACAGACAGACAGACAGACAGACAGACAGACAGCAGAATGGCCAGGAGGAAGAAGCTCTGGACTCAAGTAGAGGTCAGGTGGGCTCAGGCAGGCCTCTTCCCCTGCAGCCACGAGAGCCATGCTTTTCTTTCCGTGTTTGTGAGCCTCCCTGAACAATTTGGACTGTTGAGTGCTGTGGTTAGGTCTAACGCTCCCTCTTTGGTGAATGGCTCTCCACTGTGGGGTCCTTCGTGCTGGAGTGTCTTCCTGAGGCTCGACCCCAGGCCACTGGGTGGGTGAGGATGGAATGCTCTGTTGGGGGTGTCACTCAACCTCATTCCCCACGCCCCTAAAACGGGGACAATAATAAGCGCAATGGGCTGGGAGTCTGCCAAGTCTGGTGCTACCCCGTGGGCTGCACTCTTCTGTCTGTCTCGTGTTCTTGGTCTAACCTGGGGACCCTGCTGGGTCCCTCATCCATTAGCGTGTCCCTCCTCAGATGGAGATGCCTGCCAGTCTAGTTATGCCCAAGGTTTGCTCAGGGTTGGAGGAGATCACACAGAATCACCATTAGACATTCTCTCGTTCCTTTATATCTTTGGCCTCACAGCAGGGATGCGTCCATGAGACCGTTTCATTCTTATAGGGTCTGGGCTCAGCGGCCAGGACGATCTTGGGACCCGCAGGGGTCTCGGGTCTCTGTAGCTCCCGCTTTTGTCACCGGTCTTTCCTTGCCTCCCTCTCCAGAAAAGTGGTGGCAGGAGCTTCTCTGAGCTGGTGGAGGAATTCAAGAAGACCCTACGGCACACGGACCCCATGGTCCTGGACGACTTTGGCACTAGCCTCCCTTTCATCACTGTCTACTTGTCCACCCTGGACAACCAGGACACTACTGTCAACAAGTGAGTTACTGGATCCTACCCTCGACTTCTTCAAGACCAGGGCATCCTGTAGATCCCAGGAGATTTAAGGGTCGGTGACCAAGGGGCAGGGTGGATGCGCACACAGAGGCCCTTCCTGGGAGTGCAGGGTCTCACGTGTGCCTGGGCACTGGGCTGTGGTGCACATGGGTCCGTGGTGGAGGGGACTCTGCCCTGTTGGCCCTCCCGACTCTTTCCTTTGTACCCAGGGGTTAGCCTCCTCCATCCCTGCAGGCCCTGCTCTCCTGGAGCAGGGAACGTGTGTGAGGATGGCAGCCCCAGTGCAGAGGGTGCCAGCTTGGCCCTGCTACCACCTTCCCAGTGTCTTAGAGCAAGGGTCTGCCCTTCTCCTACCTGTCGCCCAAGGAGCCACTGGGCCGGTTAAATGGGATCTGACTCAGGTCTTACTCTCAGCACAAGCCAGCTGGGGTCTTGGCTGGCAGCTGAAGAGCTGTGGAGAACAGGGAGCTAGTGTGGAGTTCCAAGCAGAGCAGGCGCCAGAAGCCTGACCTCTCTACGAATTCCCTCAGGAAGCCTCAGGGAGTAGGGTGACTGGAAAGGAGTGCCCTCACTGGGTCCAGAACCAGGCCAGCTACTGTTGAGGTACCACCGCACCATTCCAAAGTCCAGGGGTTTGCTGCAGACACGACCCATGAGATAAATTAACTTACGTCAGGGCCTCCAGCAGAGTGACAGACCCAGGGCTCCAGCCCACCTGAAGTCACTGTTCTCTCCTGACCCCACGCATACCTGGTGGGTGTGGCGACTTCACAGGTGCCAGTGTGTGGTGTGTGGGGACAAGGTGGTATGGGAGCTCGCCTTCTCCTCAGGTCCTGCTCTTCTCTCCAGGCTTCAGGAACTGTACTATGAGATTGTGAACGTGCTGCGTCTGATGCTTGAAGACTTGCCCCAGAAGAAGTCGTCCCATAGCTCGGAATTCACGATTTAGAGGTATTTGGGCATGTGTGGCCTCAAAGGCTGTGGCAGGTCCATTAAACACAGGCCCTCAGAGCGGCTTCTCAAACTCGTTGCAGTGTTGGTGCTGGTAAGATCCACCTTTGGGGTACAGGCCTGGTAAGTGTTCATGAGAGTCAATCCCTGAGGACCTCGGGGGCAGGAAGATGGGGGTTCAAGATCACCCTGGCTTATGACTACATCCCTCAGCTTCTCTAGATCCCACAGCAGGGCTCACTGAGCTCCCGGGGAAGTCGCCTGAAGATCACAGCCAACAAGAGCGTCACCAGCTGTGTCCCTCATGGCCCTCCTCATGACCCCTGAAGGCTGACCTGTGCGGGCGCCCCAGTGTGACAGAGGCCCGCTGCTGTAGAGTCTCGTCTTTGGAAGTCCTTGTTAATTTTCCCTGGGGCTCATGCCAGGGCATGTGACATGACTGGAAAGATTACATCATGGGGCTCTGCCTAGGGGAGCCGCCTGCTGGCCGTGCTACACGTTACATCTCCTGGAGTCTGGCCCTCCAGACTTCTTCCCTCCCGTGGCTGGTGAGGTGAGAAAGCGCTAGTGCTACCGTGTACAGTCACAAGACAGAGCCATCTGGATCCCCAGGGCAGGCCGGGCAGGCCAGGGCAGCAGGACCTCTTGCTCTCCACTGACCAGCTCAGTCCTGGTAGTGTCCATTTTCTCCTCATTGCCGTAGTCTATGGCTGAGGCCTGTCACCTAGGCTATGTCATCTTCAACAGAGAGGGAAGTCAGTTCTGAGAAAAGCTCTGGAGGGAGGCTGGTACTCACCGCTGGGTGCTGGGTGCCGAAGGCCGCGCCACAGACTGAGGTCAAGACAAAGAGACAGAGGGGGTGGACTGTCTAGGCAGAGGTTCTCAACCCGTGAGCTTTGACCCCTTTGAGGGGGTGGGATAAGCCTTTCACAAAAGTCGCCTAAGATCACCCTGCATATCAGATACTTGCACTAGAGATCATAACAGTAGCAAAATTACAGTTAGGAAGTAGCAATGGAAATAACTGTAGGTTTGGGGGTCACCACAACATGTGGGATTGTGTTAAAGGGTCACAGCATTAGGAAGGTTGAGAACCACTGTTGTAGAAAAAGGGTTTCATGATTGACCAATGGGTTCTGGCTTGAGTTGTGGTGCCCTGAGGCCAGGGGACAAGGACAGGAGAAGGAACCTTTCCCCATGGCTTCTTTTGTACATGGACAGTGCTCAGTGGGCTATGCCGTGTGCCGAGGATTTAGTGATGGGAGTTGAGTCCGCCCCTGACAGTCAGTAATCTAACCAGTTTCACGTTCAAATGCAAACTTCTTTTGTACATGGACAGTGCTCAGTGGGCTATGCCGTGTGCCGAGGATTTAGTGATGGGAGTTGAGTCCGCCCCTGACAGTCAGTAATCTAACCAGTTTCACGTTCAAATGCAAACTTCTTTTGAGTGTCTCGGGCCCTTTCCACCTGCTAACGCTCATCTTCTAAGGACATGGTAGGAGCAGTGTGAGCAATGGCAAGGAGAAATTGCTAGCGAGGGTGTGACACTTGGCCCTGCTGTGGAGGGCCTGTGGAGAGTCTGTGGAGAGTCTGTGGAGAGTCTGTGGAGGGCCTGTGGAGAGTCTGTGGAAGGCCTGTGGAGGGCCTGTGGAGGGCCTGTGGAGGGCCTGTGGAGGGCCTGTGGAGGGCCTGTGGAGAGTCTGTGGAGGGCCTGTGGAGAGTCTGTGGAAGGCCTGTGGAGGGCCTGTGGAGGGCCTGTGGAGGGCCTGTGGAGGGCCTGTGGAGAGTCTGTGGAGGGCCTGTGGAGGGCCTGTGGAGGGCCTGTGGAGGGCCTGTGGAGAGTCTGTGGAGGGCCTGTGGAGAGTCTGTGGAGGGCCTGTGGAGAGTCTGTGGAGGGCCTGTGGAGGGCCTGTGGAGGGCCTGTGGAGGGCCTGTGGAGGGCCTGTGGAGAGTCTGTGGAGAGTCTGTGGAGGGCCTGTGGAGAGTCTGTGGAGGGCCTGTGGAGGGCCTGTGGAGGGCCTGTGGAGAGCCTGTGGAGGGCCTGTGGAGGGCCTGTGGAGGGTCTGTGGAGGGCCTGTGGAGAGTCTGTGGAGGGCCTGTGGGAGGGCCTGTGGAGGGCCTGTGGAGGGCCTGTGGAGGGCCTGTGGAGGGCCTGTGGAGAGTCTGTGGAGGGCCTGTGGAGAGTCTGTGGAGGGCCTGTGGAGGGCCTGTGAAGGGCCTGTGGAGGGCCTGTGGAGGGCCTGTGGAGAGTCTGTGGAGGGCCTGTGGAGGGCCTGTGGAGGGCCTGTGGAGGGCCTGTGGAGGGCCTGTGGAGAGTCTGTGGAGGGCCTGTGGAGGGCCTGTGGAGAGTCTGTGGAGGGCCTGTGGAGAGTCTGTGGAGGGCCTGTGGAGGGCCTGTGGAGGGCCTGTGGAGGGCCTGTGGAGAGTCTGTGGAGGGCCTGTGGAGGGCCTGTGGAGGGCCTGTGGAGAGTCTGTGGAGGGCCTGTGGAGAGTCTGTGGAGGGCCTGTGGAGGGTCTGTGGAGGGCCTGTGGAGGGCCTGTGGAGGGCCTGTGGAGAGTCTGTGGAGGGCCTGTGGAGGGTCTGTGGAGGGCCTGTGGAGGGTCTGTGGAGGGCCTGTGGAGGGTCTGTGGAGGGCCTGTGGAGGGCCTGTGGAGGGTCTGTGGAGAGTCTGTGGAGAGTCTGTGGAGGGCCTGTGGAGGGTCTGTGGAGAGTCTGTGGAGGGCCTGTGGAGAGTCTGTGGAGGGCCTGTGGAGAGTCTGTGGAGGGCCTGTGGAGGGCCTGTGGAGGGCCTGTGGAGGGCCTGTGGAGGGCCTGTGGAGAGTCTGTGGAGGGCCTGTGGAGGGCCTGTGGAGGGCCTGTGGAGGGCCTGTGGAGGGCCTGTGGAGAGTCTGTGGAGGGCCTGTGGAGAGTCTGTGGAGGGCCTGTGGAGGGCCTGTGGAGGGCCTGTGGAGGGCCTGTGGAGGGCCTGTGGAGAGTCTGTGGAGGGCCTGTGGAGGGCCTGTGGAGGGCCTGTGGAGGGCCTGTGGAGGGCCTGTGGAGGGTCTGTGGAGGGCCTGTGGAGGGCCTGTGGAGAGTCTGTGGAGGGCCTGTGGAGAGTCTGTGGAGGGCCTGTGGAGGGCCTGTGGAGGGCCTGTGGAGGGCCTGTGGAGAGTCTGTGGAGGGCCTGTGGAGGGCCTGTGGAGGGCCTGTGGAGAGTCTGTGGAGGGCCTGTGGAGGGTCTGTGGAGGGCCTGTGGAGGGTCTGTGGAGGGCCTGTGGAGGGCCTGTGGAGGGCCTGTGGAGAGTCTGTGGAGGGCCTGTGGAGAGTCTGTGGAGGGCCTGTGGAGGGTCTGTGGAGGGCCTGTGGAGGGTCTGTGGAGGGCCTGTGGAGGGCCTGTGGAGGGTCTGTGGAGAGTCTGTGGAGAGTCTGTGGAGGGCCTGTGGAGAGTCTGTGGAGAGTCTGTGGAGGGCCTGTGGAGAGTCTGTGGAGGGCCTGTGGAGGGTCTGTGGAGGGCCTGTGGAGAGTCTGTGGAGAGTCTGTGGAGGGCCTGTGGAGAGTCTGTGGAAGGCCTGTGGAGGGCCTGTGGAGAGTCTGTAGAGGGCCTGTGGAGGGCCTGTGGAGAGTCTGTGGAGAGTCTGTGGAGGGCCTGTGGAGAGTCTGTGGAAGGCCTGTGGAGGGCCTGTGGAGAGTCTGTAGAGGGCCTGTGGAGAGTCTGTGGAGGGTCTGTGGAGGGCCTGTGGAGGGCCTGTGGAGAGTCTGTGGAGGGCCTGTGGAGAGTCTGTGGAGGGCCTGTGGAGAGTCTGTGGAGGGCCTGTGGAGAGTCTGTGGAGGGCCTGTGGAGGGTCTGTGGAGGGCCTGTGGAGGGCCTGTGGAGGGCCTGTGGAGGGCCTGTGGAGGGCCTGTGGAGGGCCTGTGGAGAGTCTGTGGAGGGCCTGTGGAGGGCCTGTGGAGGGCCTGTGGAGGGCCTGTGGAGGGCCTGTGGAGGGCCTGTGGAGGGCCTGTGGAGGGCCTGTGGAGAGTCTGTGGAGGGCCTGTGGAGGGCCTGTGGAGGGCCTGTGGAGGGCCTGTGGAGAGGTGGGTGCCATCCTCTTCTAGGTGGAAGGACTTCGTGCTAATGCTTAGACATGGGCCTGAGGCAAGTTGAGTGTCTATGTCCCTATTCTGAGAGCAAGCAGCCCATTCAGCAGGGTAGGCAGGTCCCAGGCAGTGGCTCCAGTTCCGGCCTATGGCAAAGCAGGCAACTTTTAATTGCTGCCCTATATGTCCCCCTAGCACAAGGAGCACGCCAGCCATCCACCTGCTCGGGTTAGGAACCTTGGGAATTTCCCAGGCCTTTTGATGTGAAGAAAGAGACGGGGAAGGCGCTGGCTTTGGAGGCAGGAGACTGGGGTGAGTGTCTGCTCCTCGTCCTCTCACAGTGAGATGAAACTGACTGGTTATAAACAAGGACCAAACTGAACACCTGCAAGAGAGTAAGAAATGTTGCCAGCCCAGGGTTTTGTGCTTCCTGGTGCCCCGCCCCCTCTGCCCTGGGCTTGGTGGACAGGAGGAAGCCGAGCAGAGCAGGTCAGGTCAGAGCCTATACAGGGCCCTGCATGAATGCCTCTCCTGATAGCACTGGTTCCAAATGTCAAAGCAGAAGGTCAAATCTGGAGATCCTGGTCCCGGGTCCAGAAGGGAGCCCAGGTGCACAGGTCCCCGGATGTGGGGGTGTGCTAGCAAGCCACCTTTAGGGACAAGAAGGCTTTGGGGAGCAGAGAACTGGGAGAGGCCACGGTGTGGTCAGAGCTGGCCCAGCCCTGCTGGCAGAATAAACCAATGGCTCTTGGCGCAGAGTCTCAGAGCAGCATTTCTGTCTGGCTCTCCCAGTCTACAGAGAGGACACTGGCAGCTTGCAAGTCCCATTTGGGTCCTCACCAACTCAAACAGGCTTGGCCAAGCCTTGGATTGATCCGCTCGGGACAGAAGAAGCTCTGCTTGCCCAGGCCTGGCCATGGAAAGCAAGAGTCTCTTTCCTGCCCTAACCCTGGGATCCAGGAGAGCGGTTGTTTT